ATGCATGGCTTAGGAGTCCAGTTTATGGAAATAGGCTCCAGCTACCACAGCATCTGCAAAGATTCCCACGCGTGTTTTTTCCACGCTCCAGAGATGCTTTTCCACAGTCTGTCAGGGGGGGAGATGCATGGGGTCATCGATGAGATGGACAGAAGATCCAAAAGTGAAAGCTCCGCCATCAGCTCTGCTATAGACAGAGGGGAGACTGAAACGGTAGGTGGAGGGGGGGAGGGGGGAGGCCCAAGGCTGTAGGTGCCACACTGCCATGTTATAAGATAACAATATTCTAAAATTAAAAATGATCAATGGCAGCTCCAGCAAAATCCTTATATTCAGATCCAAGCTAGAGAAAAGACAAGTGTGGTCCATTGTGCCCTTCATTTCATTGTGAGGTATGCATGGTGTACCATTGATTTATTATTACATATCTGCGAGGGAGGCATGACTAGATTAGGATGCCTTTGTGCTTCTAATATGAAAAAAAGTGTACTTCTAAATGCAGCTTGCTTCCTCTTCACTTCATGAGATTACAGAATAGTTTTTTTGTCACCATAAGAAATGTCGCACAAAAAAAAAGTCATCCACAAATTAATTTTTAAACTTGTGCACTTAAACGTTTAAATATTTATTATTTCTTTAAAAAATCGTTAAACCCAGAATAATATCATATGGCAAAAAAATATAAAGGTAATTGCCACTAAAATGCCAAACTGGTGGATCATAATCTGAAAAGATCCATGAGATATATATATATATATATATATATATATATATACACACATACATACACACACATACATACATACACAAAAAAGTATAATTACAGAATTATATTTACTGAGGAGTTAGATTTCTGACATTTGGATTGTAGCAGTGGTACTAATTGCACAGATATATATATATATATATATATATATATATATACATACATATATATATATATATATATATATATATACACATCCTTTTTTTATTAATATATTGTTTTACCAAAAGACCATTCCATTTCCATTACACATAAATTAGGTTAATATCTCACATAGATTATTAGCTAACAATGCCACACAATTATTTAACAGAAATTTAATTATTTTAGTAACAAAATTTTTTTATTTTACAAATTGTTTAGTAAAAAAACAGTAATTAGAATTTGATTTATCATGTGCAGTCATTTATTTCAGAAGTGCATGTCACGTGGTCCCACAATACCCATCTATTATAGTATATATGTGTACAGTTACATTTGGAAAACTAGGATTACACACATGATATGCTAGTGATGTACATGTGTTATATTAATGTGACATTTTTATTTCACGCTTCTAATAGCCCAGAGAGCAATGTGTGTGTGTGTTTCCAGACTTCCACCTTCATGGCAGGTTAGGCTCGATTATAACATGAAAGTATTACCAAACTGCATTTAAAGCGATCACAAATCTATCATTCCACACATTAGACGATGATCCAACTGCTAGTGTACAGCGATGTTTCTCTACATGTGAAGCTGCGTCTCAATAAATTATCGATTTTCAGAAGACTTTTGCTCTTGCTGTTTTTGCATAAAACAGAAATCACAATTAAAATATTTCAAATAGGATTTTGTATGAACCTTGGTTTCACCGGCAGGTTACATGTTATATTAAAATATGAATAGAAAATATTTATTTTCACTTTTTTAACTATAGGACAGTGTAGGAAGCCAGCAAAATACTAGATGACACATATTCTCTCACTCTCTGTATGTGTGTGTATGTGTGTAATATATATATATATATATATATATATATATATATATATAGTTTATATAGTGTATATGTACATATACACACTATATATGTATACATATATATAATTAAAAGAAAAAATATGTTTTGTATATTTTTTTAAATTTTATACATAGACACACACACACGCAGGAACTTTAGTGTTTCCGGAAAATAACAACCCCAAAACAATCACATATTGTCTTTAATATACACAAGCTCTTATATACTACACATACATCTACATTTGGAATCTCGATGAAAATTTCTTTTGCCCCATCAGAACGCCTACAGGGCAAGAGGCAAAATGTAGTAATTTGTAATATAATGTAATATCATTTGTGACTACAGATCTTACAGTAGAAGCATGGTGACTTTTAGCAGGCATTTATCAGGCAAGCCAAATTCCAAGTGTTTGGAATAAAAAAAAATAAAGTAATACAAATGTCATCAAGTTCTGTAGATGTCTAATTTGTGGCAGTTATTTATTTTTTTGCAGTTTTTTACTTTTTTTTTTTTTTTTTACAGTTTGATAGTTGTTTGTTCTGGTCTTTTTTATTGTTGTAGTAACCTCTTTGGTTTAATAGTGAGAAATCTGAGGATGGAATATTTTACTGACTGTGTCTTTGTGCCCCTTTTTGCCAGACGATGCCCTCCATCAGCAGTGACAGGGCTGCCTTGTGTGCCGGCTGTGGGGGGAAAATCTCGGATCGGTACTACCTCCTGGCAGTGGACAAGCAGTGGCACATGCGCTGCCTGAAGTGCTGTGAATGTAAATTAAACTTAGAGTCTGAACTGACCTGCTTCAGCAAAGATGGCAGCATCTACTGCAAAGAGGACTATTACAGGTACCATACCCCCCCTGCCCCATCCCCCTTCTCCATACATCAAAGCATCAAACTCACCCCTTTATTTTAAAATAAAAAAAAAACCTGTAAAAAATAAGAATTCTTTCAAAAATAGTAGTGATTCCATGGACCTGCCTCTTGGTAAAGATGGGGATTTCGAATCTGTAGGATTATCAGGCTGAATTCACAAAGGTAACACTCCATAATAAGTGCTCTTAGTTTTTTCTGAGTGATAGTATTTTTTTTACTAAGTTGTCACATGACTGAAATAAAAATCCTTATCCTTTTGTTAAAGTATTAGTGAATTGAGCCTTAAGGCTTAATTCACAACGTTAACACACCAGGATAAGAATCCTTATTTAAAAAAAAAAGTGACCTTATTTTTAAAATTACAGTCACATGGCTGTAATAAAGATCTTTATTCCTTTGTTAAAGTTTTGTGCATTGATGAGAGGCTCAATTCCCAAATCTTACATACAGGGAAAAGGGTTCTTGTTTTTTTTTTTTTAAAAAAGTGACAACTATTTTCAGTTGAGTCCAATGATATTTATACAGTCACATGGCCTAAACAAAGAAATTAATACTTTGTGATTAGAGTCAACATATTGTGTAATCTGAGGTTGGATTGTGAATGTATTGGAATATAAAATATTTTATCCTGGATCATTAAACGTATCAGCCACTTTTATAGATCAACTTCTATTATGTTTGGGTTTTTTTTTTTTTTTTTGTGTAATATAAGTAACCTCTGTCACAATATTAAAAAAAAAAACAACTATACGAGACATAAAATATCAGATCACACGAGATCACTTTCTACCATATTATTCTTTCACTCTATAGGAACCCTCTGCACCATAAAACGCTAAAACAATATTTCTACTGTTGTCCAATAAAATGGAAACTTCTGATTTTCATATAAAAGGTGGGGGGCATTTTATTTTACGGGTTGACATGCTCATTTCAGTTTGAGGAGTGCGAAGTTCCCCTGGAAATACTTCATTAATATGGAACAGGCGTTGCGGTTAATGGCAGGCAGGGAAGGGGTTAATCGGAAGGCTACTGCATTTGCCTGCTTGTTTTATTTGGCCATCAGTCCCGAAGTGCTTTGGATGAACGGGGACTTGTGAAGGATTTATGGATCCCCCCAAAAAATCTTATAGTCCTGGAGACCTTTGCTATAATATAAATTACATATTAAACTGCTTAAAATATTTTGAAGTGCGGTAACTATGGATATAGGAAAAATCAATCAGATCATTATCAGATTAAAGTTTTCTGTCTTTTATTTATTAGTGTATTTATTTCAACAAGATCAGATGTTTTATTAAATTGAAACTTTGATATACAAGCCTCCTTTGCCCCAAGATGCTAAAGTTTAATTTATTAACTTATAATTGATCAGTGACTATATATATATATATATATATATATATATACACACACACATACTGTAAGGTTACATTCACTGAGGACATATATACTTTATATGTATATAGTGTTACTTATGCCTTTTTGGAGTTTTCTAGTGATTATACAGTATGGTGAGATCATGGTAAATGTTTGGGCTTTCTGTGAGGCATTAGAGATTGTCATGGTGGGATTTGGTGGTATGTGGGTACTCCACTGAGTTTCTGACTCACCAGTTGGGACAATGTTCCCTTAGTGAGTCCAACACTTTTTTTTTTTTTTTTAAATTGAAGTATGATCACATCACAAACAAGAGAGTGCAACGTTTCGGAGTCACGCGGGACCCCTTCCTCAGGCATGTGAGGTTCTTAGTAGAGTTGGGACTTTTTGACCACTACCACCTTGCCTGTACCAGTTCTGGACCCATATAATACATATCAACAAACTCTTACTTTACCAGTAGAAATTAACTACATGTCCTATGATGCCTCAAAGCATGGAGTCAAGCTATTATTTGTTGTTTTCTTTCATACAGTAGTCAATAATGTCTGGACATTATATGGGGATTGATATCTATAGTGTCGACTTTAGAGAATTGAAAACAATTGCCTACTTATCAGAAGTCAATAGTGACTAAAAATAACGTGGGACTGATATCTAGAAGGTTGACTTTAGAGAAACGAGAACTATTGTCTACTTATCAGACGTCAGTAGTGTCTGATAATAATGTTGGAATTGATATCTATAGAGTTGGCTTTAGAGAAATGAGAACCTTTGCCTCCATATATAATGTTGTCTAATTGTGAACTTGTTCTGATTCTACATCTGCAGGAGGTTTTCCGTCCAGAGATGTGCAAGATGCCACTTGGGAATCTCAGCCTCTGAGATGGTCATGAGAGCAAGGGACTTGGTGTACCACCTCAACTGTTTCACCTGCAACACATGCAACAAAATGTTGACCACTGGAGACCATTTTGGC